ATTATGGAAGTGAGGTTGCTCTCACACTCTTGGCATGACAGTGGAATAACCCTCCTATTTTATCTGAGCATTACTTTCATTCTCATTATCTAGTAACATATTTTTTTCTTTTTTTAAAAACTTATTTATTTGTCAGAGAGAGAGAGAGAGAGAGCGCACAAGCAGGGGTGAGCTGCAGAGGGAGAGGGAGAAGCAGGCTTCCCGCTGTGCAAGGAGCCTGATGCAGGGCTCCATCCCAGGACCCTGGAATCATGACCTGAGCCAAAGGCAGACACTTAACCGACTGAGTTACTCAGGTGCCCCTCATATATATTTTTTCTATTGTAGATGCCCAGAGAAGCAAATGAAAACAAAAAAGCCCACTTCTTTTTCTCTTTCTCCTTATAGTCTTCACACATTTAAATCACTGTTTTCTGTGGCCAGAGATTTCCCTCTAGTCTCTCTTCAAATGTAGTCTGTGCTCTTCCAGCCTTTTCTCTCCACAGCACTCCTACAGTCAAATCAGAGCTTTCAGGAGCTAGTTTCTTCTTGATCCTAGTACTTTCAAAATTCACTTTCAGGAAAAGGAATTGATAGAGAATTCATTTTTTTCCACAGGTAACTGCTTCAAGGAATTATCTTTTAAAATACAAACAAATACATTTCTTTTTTTTTTTTTTTTTAAGATTTTATTTATTTGAAAGAGAGAGACACAGCGAGAGAGGGAACACAAGCAGGGGGAGTGGGAGAGGGAGAAGCAGGCTTCCTGCCGAGCAGGGAGCCCGATGTGGGACTCGATCCCAGGACCCTGGGATCATGACCTGAGCCGAAGGCAGACGCTTAACGACTGAGCCACCCAGGCGCCCTAGAGGTTGGTTTTTTTCAGGCTAGTAATCTTCCCTCTAACCTTTCTTCTGCTCCTTATAACTATAAATGACCTCTTTTCCAGAAAGGCTAGTTCTGTTTTCAACAGACTATAAAGTATGGTATCTGATCTGCTGTTAGTCCCATGTAAATTTAATCTATTTTCTTTCAGAGGCATTTCCTCAAAAAGCCAGGAGGAACTGTCAATGAGTTGAAGTTGAAAAAAGTTTTGGTTTTTTTTTTTTTTTTTTTCCCTTACCAGACTAAAACAACCTAAGCTGTAAGGACTAGGTGATCTCAATTTTTTGGAAAGTGCAAAGTGTTCTTTTTCACGGTTGGTAGTAAACAAAGAACAGAATGCATCATTGGCAACACTTATCTAAATCAACCCTTTGGTTTATGGCAGCTTACAATGAACCTGTTTGTAGATAGGGCCCTGAATATAATAAAAGACCAGCATTCACAACTTCTGTACAAAGCATCAGCAGCTAACCAAGGTCCAACCATTGCTGCCTTTGTACTGAGCATGCAAAATACTTACTGTCAAAAAGAGATATCATTTCAATAGTTTATAAACATATGGTGTTTAAAAGTTACAGACCTGCAGCTTTAACATTTTAAAGTCAGTGCCTCAGAGTATGGGAGGTCCATAATCCAGAGTGATCAGTGGTATGTGTGTGTTATGTATTACACACACACACACACAAACATATCCATATATATATATACTGTTAATAACTTGTCATTATTTGAAGTAAGTAAACAATGCAAAAACTCAGAAAAAGATTGTGGGCTCATTTCTTTTAAGTATGTTAACTGTGCCCTAGTAAAGGGTATAGAACTCTTTGAGGTTCTCATTTAATTCAAACTCTTCTTCCTTGGTCTTTTTTTATAAATAGTAAATATACATTTTTTAATAAATAGTAAATTAATAAATAAACACCTGTGATATGGGAGTTAACATTAGTCTCCTCACACCTTATTTAAAACTTGATAATGCAAAAAAATTTATAAACTCTGCCTTTGATTTGTGTCTTTGACATAGCTTCTTGTTTTTACATAGACATCTGAAATTGGGTATCTATACAAAAAGAATGAAGTTATCCAAGGAACTAGTGGCTGTGGCCTAAGGGACTAGCAGGACAAAATGATTAAATATATTAATGATAATAATAATTGCAGCTACCATATGTAGTACTTACCATGAAAGGAATGGCTTTAAGCCCTTAATGTATACTAACTCATTTAATCCTTGCAAAACACTATAAAGTAATTATTATTCCCAATTTACAGAGGATAAATCTAAGACAAAATTGTTTCTAACATAAGCCTAGTTAGGAACTGTCAGATTTGAATCTAGGTGGTCTGGCTCTGAAGCAACATTCATAACTATCCGAATTCATTCAATTAGCTAATCAATTATTCAGTCTTTAATCAAATACTTATCAAATTTGTATTATATTCTCAGCACTGTGGTAGGCTCCAGGGCATACATGAATGAGTTTAAGCGGATATGGTACCTGTTCTTATAGAACATAAGGTCTAGAAATAAACACAAACATTAATCAAACAATTATACAAACAAATGTAAAATTGCAAGGTGACTGGTGTACAAAGGAGATGTGTATGAGGGTCTATAAGGGTTAGGGAGATGGGGAAAAGTTTTGCTGCAGAACCGATATATGCACTAGATATGAAGGATGGGTAGACTTAAATTAGACAAAAAAGAAAAGGAAGAGATTTCAAGGCAGAGGGAAGGCCACATACAAATCCTCTGTGGTGAGGAGGAACAAGAAGAGTTCTAGTAATTGAAGAAAAACCAATGAGATGGGATCACAGTGGGTAAGAGGGAGAAGAGTGCAAGACAAGACTTGAAAGATTGGTAAGTCCAGACCTGGCATTGAAAGATGTTAAACCAGGACAGGGATGGTGGTAGAATTACATAAATAGATTTGTGTTTTAAAAGGATCATTCTGACTTTAATATTGACAGTGGAGTAGAAGAGGACCAGTAGATAATGAATATGAATAAATGAGTAGGCAGATTATTGTAGTGGCCCAGGTGAGAGATGAAGGTAGCCCAGACTGGATTGATGGTGGTGATAAAGAGAAGTGGATAGAATCAAGTTAGGGTTGGCTATAGTAGGCAGAAAAATCAACAGGATTCTCTAGCAAAATGATCTAAGCCAATTTGGTCACACACAACTATTCTGTTCTCTCTCTCTCTTTTTTTTTTTTTAAGTAGGCTCCATGACCAATATGGAACCCGAACTCGCAATCCTGAGATCAAGAGCCACATGCTCCACTGACTGAGCCAGCCAGGTGCCCCTATTTTGTTCTTTTTGACAGAAAAAAGTACCCACCAATTTTTGAGATAAGTACATCTATATCATGGAATACTATTCAGCAATAAAAAGGAACAAACTATCAACACACACAAAACACCTCGACACACCTTGATACTAAGTTAAAAGCAAGTCTCAGGGGGTGCCTGGGTGGCTCAGTCATTAAGCATCTGCCTTTGGCTCAGGTCATGATCCCAGGGTCCTGGGATCGGGCCCCACATCAGGCTCCCTGCTCTGCGGGAAGCCTGTTTCTCCCTCTTCCTCTCTCCTGCTTGTGTTCCTGCTTTCACTAACTCTCTCTCTGTCAAATAAATAAATAAAATCTTAAAAAAAAAAAAAAAAGCAAGTCTCAGACCAAATTCTGGCATATAAATAAACATTTTGAAAATCAACAGTTATTAGTAAGGAGGCTTTTATACAACAGTTCATACAGTCTCTTCTGTAAGCTCAGTTAAGTTTCAGCTCTCCATCCTTTTATGTACTGTCATGTTGCAGTTATCTGTTGCTCCATAATAAAGGACCCGCAAATTTAGTGACTTAACACAACAATAAATATTTATTATCTCATAGTTTCTATAGATCAAGGCTAAGTCAATTTGGCTGGGTTGTTTTGGTTCAGGGTTTCTCATGAGTCAAAAAGTTGGCTGGTGCTGTTATTACCTGAAGGCTTGACTGGGCCTGGAAGACCTATTTGTAAGATAGCTGACTCACATGCCTCGCAAGTTAGTGTGGGGTATTGGCAGGAGACCTGTGGACTTCCCCATATGCATCTCCATTAGGTTGCTTGAACGGCTTCACAACATGGTGGTTGTCTTCCTCCGAAATAGATAATCCAAGAGGACAAGGCAGAATTGCAATGCCTTTTTTTTTTTTTTAAAGATTTTATTTATTTGACAGAGAGAGACACAGTAAAAGAGGGAACCCAAGCAGGGGGAGTGGGAGAGGGAGAAGCAGGCTTCCCGTGAAGCGGGGAGCCTGATGCAGGCTTGATACCAGGACCCTGGGATCATGACCTGAGCCGAAGGCAGACGTTTAATGACTGAGCCAGCCAGGCGCCCCAGAATTGCAATGTCTTTTAAGACTTAGCTTTGGAACAAGGAGGGTGAGTTACCCATGGTAACTGGGTGATGGACATTAAGGAGGGCAGGTGATGTAATGAGCACTAGGTATTATATAAGACTGATGAATGAACTCTACTTGTAAAATTAATACTACATTATATGTTAATTGATTGAATTTAAATTTTTAAAAAAGCAAAAGAAAAGAAACTCTAAAAAAAAAAACCTTATGATGTCATTTAGGTATATACTCCCAATTGTAACCTATATTCTGTTTTACATATGATACACTTATAGCCTACTGAGTAAAGTAGGCAATTCTCTTAATTATGGATAAGATTTATGCTTGTAAATCTCTTTAAATTAAACTGAAAAAAATACCTTTAAAGTGTTTTTTCTGATTGGAATATTTTGATTATCTTGCTAGAAAATAATCTTGAACCAATCATATTGAAAAATCTTAAATTACGGGTTAAAATGTGTTTTTTCAAAGCAGTGGTTAAGATCTTTTACATGAGTTACTATGTTTTTCTCTTTGGAAATTTAATAAAGCATTTCCAGAGCCAAAAAAAAAAAAGAAGACTTAGCTTTGGAAGTCATGTATCTTCATTTACAGAATATCTTATTGGTTACACAGGTTACCTCTGTTCAGTGTGGGAGGGAACTACACAAAAGGTTGAATAGTAAGGATTATTCGTATTAAGGTCAATGAGGGCCCATTTGAAGACTGGCTACCACATATGACTACAACATACATGAAAGGTTCACTTAAGGTAGATGCAGCAATACTTAGAATCCTTTCAAGTGGCCAGAATCCATTGAATCAAGAGCTGGATACAGGATGCTTCAGGGATCAAATCTTGGTGCCTTTCCTAAGGATACAGATTATGGTGCTTGTTAGATTTTGATTGCCTATTCTGAAAAAGTGGAATGTCTAAAATATATTAGCCAATTCACATACCTAGACCAACTTCAATTTCATGAATGGAAACCCACTGCTAATATTCATTATGTTAATTAGTAAAATTCTGGTGTTCAAGATAAGTATGACTAAAATGTGTGTCATAGCTTCCTCTGGATTGTGGCCTTTTGGACTAAATATTAGCTGACCATACCTGGGAGTATGAGTTCCCAATGATGGCAAACAACAGCACTTATGATGTAGCCTAAGTTAACACACATATACAATCACAAATAATATCACATTGTCTATGTTCAATTATTTTAAAGTAAATTAGACATCATAATACATTCTATAATTTAGAGAGTGCAACCCATGAAAAAAGTAACTATATGGCCAATGAGTTACTGAATGGGGCTGCTTATACTGGATAAAGTAGCTTACAGTGGAAATTACTAAATGATCATTAGCAAATCATTTCTGGCACTATGGGATGTTGTAGAAAGCACTTATATTGACTTTTATTTTCGAAGATGAATCATTTGAAAGAATATTATAGAGTTACTTTGAGAATTACATGAGTTAATAATTTCAAACACTTAGGACAAGTGCCTGGCACATAGTAAAGTTGTCGGTAAATGTGATAATGATGATGATGATGGTGGTGGTGGTAGTGATCATCTAAAAATTTCAGATAGATACATGCCTCTATGATTAACAGGTGTGCTGGATACTGAGGCAGATTCCACTCATACGAGATTCCTCTTCAGGACTAAAGGACTTGTTTATCCAACTGCTGGGAGGGCTGTTGGCTCAAGATGTCAGCTCTGTCCATGAATTGCCTTACCCAAGGTCATACCTACTCCCTGGGGGCAGTCTTTATCCAATGAATGGCCATTGATGAGTATAAAAAGGCCCAGGCCCTCTACCTCATGTAAATTTTCCTGCATGCAAATCTCTATCTCAGGTTCTGCTACCCAGGAAACATGACAAGAAATATCAATTGTTACTTAGTGAATTAAACATCTGCATTAACAGACATATCCTGGGGGATGCCTGGCTGGCTCAGTTAGTAGAATGTGTGACTCTTGATCTCAGGGTTTTAGGTTTGAGCCCCACATTGGGTGCAGAGATCACTTACAAATAAAATCTTCGAAACAAAAAACCAAATGTACCCCTTTTTTATTGGTTGGTAATGATTAACACAAGGTGTATGTTCAATATATATATATATATATATATATATATATACACACACACACATATATATACACATATATATGTAATTAAAAGTATTATTTAGATTAGACATTTGAGATCTAAAATTGGTGGTAGAGGCTAGCAGAATAAGTTATCAATTGAAATGTTTATCATATTAAATATATTCTTATTAGAAAAGCTGGCAACTTACATATAATTATTTATCTGATATATAGAAAGCACAAAAGGCCATGAAAACTTTTTGTTTGTTTTGTTTTTTGAAAACTTTTAACACAGGCAATGTTACTATGCAGAATTTATTTGACAGGACAGGCTAGGTAATACTGTAGTAATAAACTATAACAAAATCTCAGGGGCTTATCACATAAAAGTTCTTACTCAGGCTAATCTGCTAAGAGTCTAGGAATTTCTCCATGGCAGCCCCTCGTGTAGTAGCTCAACATTCAAGATCACTTTCTTCTTCTGATATCTCCATCTCATTTTGATGCTTCATTCTTTGTGCCAGGATAGACAGCATGGTGAATCATGCACTGGAAGTGACACAGCAGCTCTGGCCATTGTCTATCAATAAAACTAAGAAATATAACATTTTACATATCCAGAAAAGGGAAGAGAATGGAAAATATTGGTGACCATTGGTAGTATCAGTCACAAGGACAGTCTTAGATACTATCTAAGAGAGGCTAATATTTTAGTATCCATAAGGGTCATCTTATAAGAAAATTTCACTCTTGAGACAGACTCTATGTATAGATTTTATCCTAGCACAGGAATTAATTTTAAGCTCCTGTGTTTATCAGGAAATTTGAATAGAAATAAATTTAGTTAAGTATAAAAAGAATCAGCAGCTAAAATAGAACCTGGTAAGGTATGGATAGTCTCTTTAGTCATAAGATAAATAGTAAAAAAGTATATCACAATTGAGTGAGCTGTGAAAATTTATGTAAAAATCTTTTCCAGAGGCTTCTTTGAAAATGTGATTGTAAAATTTAAAAACAAGAATAAAATGTAAATAAAAAGGGACTTTGCCTGAATTTACTTTTGCATTGACCATTTACTCCTTTAAAGAAAAGGAGTAAAATTACTATCAAGTAAGTACACCTCACACCCTTTTTGCTATGGCATTCTTCAACACGAAACATGTTTCGTATGAGAAACATTTCGCAGTATTGATTATAAGACAGCTAAACATAAAAAAGTCAATGAAAACAAAAAGTGAATGTAGATACAAATTTCCTTGCTTTCCAGAAACTTGAAGATAAACATAGATTTCTGTGTGTTTGTCTAGTTCTATAAAATTTATCGCATGTACTAGATTAATGTAGTGATCACCACAATTAGGATATAAAACTATCCCATTCCCCCAGAGTAATTCCCTCCTGCTATCCCTTTATAGTTGCACCTTCCCTCCAACTCTAACCCCTGGCACCACTGATGTGTTCTACATCACTATAATTTTGCCATTTTGAGGATGTTGTAGAAATGGAATTATATCATATATATTCTTTTGATATTGGCTTTTTTTCAGTCGGTATAATGGCCTTGAGATACATGTAAGTTGTTTTGTGTGTGTTGATAGTTTGTTCCTTTTTATTGCTGAATAGTATTCCATGATATAGATGTACCACAGTGTATTTATTTACCCATCAGAGGACATCTGAGTGGCTTCCAGTTTTGGGCTGTCACATAGAGTTGATATAAAAATCTATACATAGATTTTTGTGCAAACTTACATTTTCATTTTTCTAGAATAAATACCCAGTAGTTAGATTACTGGGTCTTATGGTAAATGTATGTTTAACTTTGTGAGAAACTGCCAAACTGTTTTCTAGAGTAACTGTATTATTTTACATTTCCACCAGCAAAGAGATACAGTTGCTCCACATCTTGTCAATACTTGGTATCATAAATATTTTTAATTTTAGCTGACCATTCTAACAGGTGTGTGGTGGTATCTCATTTTGGTGTTAATTTGCATTTTCCCAATGGCCAATGATGTTGGACTGTAAGGATGTCTTACATGGTGTTTTGCATTTTTACAAATATTCAATTAATTCTCACAAGTGTGGTGTGATGTATTTCAAGTGATAAAAGGCCGATATTATGTAAATCTGGAAAAGACAGACAAAATGTAATTACACCAATGGATACTCAAACGATTTAAAACTCAAAAGGCACTGAAGGTATTTCAGTTGAACTTCCCCATTTTACAGAGAATGGTGTATCAGAGAGGTTAAATGATTTCTCACACAGCAGGAATCATACAAAAACCACACTTCTGATGCTTGAAGCTCTTCTATAATGTCCAATCAAGTAGGTGACAATTTATGCTTGAATCCTTCAAGTGACTGTGAACTCACTCTCTCTCTCTCTTTTTTTTTTTTTTGGCCAGTTCTGTTACAAAGTTTCTTGACATTGGGCTGAAATGGTCTATAAACAAGTGAACAAATCTGTAAATATTTTGACATTGAACTAAAATGGCTTATTATTGCTCCTGCCACTGGGTCTAGTTTCATCCTCTGAGACTTTCCTGAGGAAGTGTGGTCCCTTTTCTGCATACTTCAGATACTTGAAGACAGCCATCACGCTCTCTAGGCTAAACATTTACATTTTCCTCTAGCCATGTCTTACATGAGGTCCTTTATCATTCTTCTTGCTCGTATGTAAACTGGTTCTAGATTTCTTACAGTGCAAAATACTGAACAAAATATTTCTAGTAACACAGAGTGTATACATTTTCCAATTATACATATTCACTGCAGGGAGTAGTGAAATTTCCTTACCTTTCACTTAGTGTGATTATTAAAAAAATTTAAGCCAAATAATTTATTTTTAAAATTGCATTTTTTTTGGATGTGTTACATGCACATGGCACAAAATTCAAAACGTTCAAGAGAGTTTACAGTGAAAAGTCATGATCCTTAGTCTTCTGGTTTAATACAGTATAATATAATATAAAATATAGCAGAAATTCTCTTTTTAAGACACATAATACTGATTATGATTATGACATCCCATCAAATAGGCTGTACATATCTTTTAAATCATTCATCTTAAATTTTTTTGCTAATATACATAATCTGTTATGGACTTCCTTATGTATCCTTTTATGTATATGTTTTAGGTTATTTCTTAAAGCAGTTTCCTAGAAAAAAATAGCTGCATTGCATAGTATGACTTGTATACAATAACTTTCCAAAAACTTACCATTTTATATTTACTCCAGTGGTAGGTAAGTGTCCATTTCACCACATCTTTGCAAACATGGAATACTATTATTTATTTTCTTTAAATTTGTTGTCTCGATTTGCTTGTAGTTGAGAATGCATTTTTAAAATTTGTTTTTATATCTTTATTGGCTATTTGTATTTCCTCCTTTGGGTGCTTAAGCCCTTGTTAATTTTTTGAAAATTTATGAGCTAGAAGAAGAATATCAGCACACTGTCATATTCTTGTAAAAAATTTTTTTTCAGTTTATTAAGCTCCTGAAGGTGTTTTACACATGCTAGGGTCAGTCCATCCCAAGCAGTTGTATGTAGTTAATTTTTAAAAAATTTTTACTAAATATGAGGCTTTACAATGAACACTTATGTTGTGATATAGTTTATTTCTTTATAAGTCTGTTTCACTCACCAGATTTTAAACTGCTGCAATCCAAGGGCAATACTTTAATCATCTTTCTAAAGCCTAACATAGACATTTATACGGAGTAGATGTTCCATAAATTTGTGACATCTAAATGAGTGAATAAACTTTAAAATCCCTATTAGTTGGTTGGACTCTGCATTTATGGTTACAGACTCCCCAAATTTTATGAATTTTAATTATGACTCCATTCTTTATCATTGGAACCCCTTTAGTTGTCCATAATTGTTTCTATTTCTGAAGGTTTGTGATGCCAGGTAATATTGAAAAAGTACTTTTTCCAAGAGTAGTTTGGACAGGATTGAGTAAAGTATTGGCAGAGATGGCTACCGATACTGCGACAGATCAAGAGCGGGGGGAATGGAAAACATTTGTCAATCAAACAGAAGCTCTCTCTGATGACATAAAATACTCTTTGGGGAAACTGGCCGTGGCTTCCTGGTTTTGGCAATGCATAGGGTAGCCCTGTCAAGTCTCTTTCAAACCCTGACGATCTCTGTCCAAGCAGAGACTGTATGATCTGTATTTTGCTAACGCCAGTCTGGTTCACATATTCCCTCCATGGAGTGAGTCCCTCAGACTTTCTCCACCCTACACCATCCATTTCACAACCACCACCCCCACCCCCTGTGCATTCCTTCCAACCCAAGAAAACCTAAGCTACTTAAAGATGTTACTGGATTCTTTTAAAACTCTGTGCACTAACTTTATAGGGCTGCCATAACAAATTACCATAGATTGGTGGCTTAACACAACAGAAATTTATTATTTTACAGTTCTGAGGCCAGAAGTCTGAAATCAAGATGTTAGCAGGGCTGCACTTCTTCTGAAAGATCTAGGATAAAACCTAATTTTTTGCCTCTTCCAGCTTCTACTAGCTGTCACCATTCCTTCACTTGTGGCCACATTAGTCCAATCTTAAGCTCTGTGGTTACACTGCCTCCTCTTCTCTGTATCTTCTCTGTCACATAAAGATACTTGTCATTGAATTTACAGCCTGAGATAATTCAGGGCAATTGATATCCTCATCTCAAAACTTTTAACTTAATTACATCTGCAAAAGACCCTTTTCCCAAAAAAAGGTGACATTCACAGTTTCCACAGATGTGGGACATGGACATCTTTTTCGGGTGCCACCATTCAGCTCACTACATCTTGCCTAAGGATACAATTTTTTCCTTCTTTCAAGCTATACCTCTTGAAGCTTTGAAGAAATCCAAGAGGACTCTTCTTTCATCATCACCTTAGTTTTCAAGACTTGTGTCTTCACTTTATGCACTTCTTTGGGAAATTCAGTCTATTTCTTTGTTTTAGTGGCTTTCTTTTGGAATTCTCCCTTCCTGGGCAAATGAATACTACACCAGTGGAAGGAATATCACTGAGTCAAAAAGCAAATAATTCCAGGTTTTAAATTTCCACTTCTTACCTTGAAGGCAGACATTTGTCCATGTTTCGTGTTCTAGCACCTGTTGTTTCCCATAATTCCTCAATGATGGGGATAGTTGTTCTCAGGCCTCATTTGTGCTCCCCCACTAGCATTCTGCTCCAAAGCCTGCAATAAGCCCTGTTCATATCAGATGACATAATATAAATTGGAGCTGTTAGGTACTTTTTTAGAATTTCTTCCCCAATTTGGGAAGAGTATTGCTTCCTGCTCATATTTATACTACTCTTGAATATTAATAAATTGCTATTTATTGTCACTACTGTGAGCCTAGCTTAACGTTTTGAATGTGTTACTTCTGTTACTCAGAACAATGCTATGAAAAAGATATGGTTGTCTCTGTTTTACAGAAAATGGGGGGAAAAGGAGAAAAGGAGATGTAGGGTTATATAACTACAAAGTGTTGAAACAGAGAATTAAACTCGGATTTCCCTGACCCCACAAACTCACATAATTCTTTCTACTACATCAACCTTCTTCTCATGTTTCCTTTGTAGAGAATGAAGCAAAATAATATTTAGGGAGTTCTGCTTTCTCTGTCAGCTCTAACCTTACACCAGAAGCTGCAAAGTGGGCTTTTCCCTTCCTTGATCATCTTCTGGCTCTGAATAGAATTTTAAAAAGCCCGTTCTTTGTCCTTTCTTAGCATTTTTTTGCAAGTCTCACCTCATTTGGGGGTTTCAGTTTCCTTGACACTATTCTTTTGGGCCATGTTACCTTCTTATAATTATCCTTGGTATGTGGTTGCTTTCTCCCAAGGTTTCTGTCACTTCCAATTAGCCAGGCAATTCCTCCTTGTTGGTCAGAATTAGGTTCTCCAGTTGCTCTGCTGGGACATCAAATCATGAGAAAGACAAATCAAAAACTTGTCAAATGTTTTGCTTTTAGCTCAATGAAACTTTTAAAGGGTGTCCAGTATTTGAATTTTCTTTTTTGATTGGTGCATTACTACACCTATTGACAAATAGTATATTATAGGGCACTGTGGTATCAATAATGAATTCTTTTATAAATAATTACATGTGGCAGTATATATTTGGAACCAGTTTTAAACCTCTCAAATAAAACATTCTAAAGCACTTCCAAGCTTCCTATATATACCTGGTTATTCTAACACATTCTTGTTTCTCATCCCCCACTCAAGTTCACCACATGGAGAAATATATATATTATTTTTAATGAACTGACTTTTTGTGCCTCTCATTTTTAATATAATCCCAAACCAGAAACTGCAAGGTGGGGTAGGGGAAAATGACCTTTCTGAAGTGAAATATATGTCAGAAAGTCTATGAACTAGTTTTAACACAGAGGGCTATGAATTTCAATGGGAAAATATTATACCTTAATTGTTGCTACCCTCTAAGAGAAAGTTAGCATTTCTTTCAATTGTAACATATACAATCAATGACAGTGTTATTAGAAGTACTGGTGACATTTTCACCAATAAAAATCACAGATATTTTCCCATCACATTACTATCGTAGTTTGGTGGGGTTTTTTTTTTTTTTTTTTTTTTTTGGTGTTTACTACTTTTAAATTTTAGACATTATTAGATCCTCTGCTAGATTTTGTTATTTGGTGCATTAATGAAGAAGAACATATATAGCACACTTTTTGTTGAATATCTTGATTATTGTATTTTAATATAATTTGTTCCATTAATGATTCTATGCATATATTATGCATTTAAAAACACAATTCTAAAAAGGGCTTTATAGACTTCACCAGACTGCCAAAGGGATCCATGACACAAAAAAAGATTAAGAATATCTTTTAGGGACTCTGGTATTGTGGTTAAGAGCATGGAGTTTGGTCTAACAGTGCTTGGGTTCAAATTCTGCTCTGTCACTTACGGTATGACTTTGGCTAAGCTATATATACTCTTTGTGCCTGAGGTTCTTCATGTGTAAGATGGAGATAATACTTACCTAAAAGTCTTGCTGTGAAAATGAAGTAATATCTATAAAGACCTAAACATGATGCCAGGCACACAGTATGTTATTTATTTTATATCCACCCAGATAAGGTTTCATTCAAATCCTATTTACATTTATCCTGTATACAGATTTTTTTTCACTATGTAGTCACTCTCTAAAATTTAAAATTATATTAGTAAATATTGGCTAGTTTCAAATGAATATTTGTAAAATATATGTGTGATATAAGGAAGAATGATACAATGAACATTAATATGCCTTCTACCCAGATTAAAAGGAAAAAAGTTGCTTTAGAAAGGATGAATGTATAATTTATTTCCTAAACCAGAGCACTTTTGAGAGTGAAAGTGCTATTAATTATAACACCAGGAAAATAGGTAAACCAGGACTGTTTTGGCTAAACCAAAATGTAAAATCACACTACTTTTATGTTCTTGTGTGCCTTTCCTTATTCTATTCCCTTCCTTCTACAGCTAGAGAAAAATCACTATTTTGATTTTGTGGTTATCATTCATTCATTTTAATTTATAGATTTATGTCTTATGTTTGTACTCTTAAACAACATATCGTTTACTTTTATTGCTTCTTTAATTTATAGAAGTAGAATCCTAATGTAATATTCTTCTGTGAATTTCTTTTTTGCTCAACATTGTTAGAGATTCATCCATGTCCATGGATTTGTAACTCATTTTTTCCACTGTTGTATTCTACTGTATGAGTATACACAGTGTATTTAATCATTCTACTGTTGATGGACAGTTGGACTAATTTTTATTGTTATAAATAATACTGTTAAGAATTTTCTTTCTTTCTTTTTTTTTTTTTTTTTAAAGATTTTATTTATTTATTTGAGAGACGGAATGAGAGACAGACAGCAGGAGAGGGAGGAGGGTCAGAGGGAGAAGCAGACTCCCTGCCGAGCAGGGAGCCCGATGCGGGACTCGATCCCGGGACTTCAGGATCATGACCTGAGCCGAAGGCAGTCGCTTAACCAACTGAGCCACCCAGGTGCCCATTTTTCTTTCTTTTTTTAAAAAAATATTTTATTTATTTGATAGAGAGAGACACAGCGAGAGAGGGAACGCAAGCAGGGGGAGTGGGAGAGGGAGAAGCAGGCTTCCTGCTGAGCAGGGAGCCCGATGAGGGGCTCAATCCCAGGACCCTGGGATCATGACCTGAGCCGAAGGCAGATGCTCAATGACTGAGCCACCCAGGCGCCCCAAGAATTTTCTTTCTTATATATCCTGGAACACTGCTCCTGGACCATAGAGGATATACCTCTTCAAGGTTACTATATAATGCCAAATGGTTTTCCAAATTGATTATATCAATTTATACTCTAAATAGCAAAGTATGTGTTCTGGGATATTGTCAGACTTTTAAATTTTTGCTTATGTGGTAGATGTGAAATTGCATTTCCTTGTGTTTGAGAATTTCTTCAGGTTTCTTCCTCTATGAATTGTCTGTTTGGAATAGTATGGTGTGGTATAGAGCATTATCTGTTTTTTTTTTTAATTAAATTGTAGTAGATTTTTACACAATGTGAATGCTAATCCTTTTGTTAGTAATAAGGGTTGTAATGATTTTCTCCCAGTTTATGGCTTGTCTTCTACTTTCCTTATGGTGTCTTTTTTTTTTTTTTTGGCTTTTTTTACAGAAAATATTAAAACATATATAAAAGTATGCAGAATAGAATAATGAGCTCCCATTTACCTATTATCCAGCTTCAACTATTATCAATTCATAACCAATCTTGCTTCATTTATACAACCACCCACTTTCCCCATTTCTTATTATTTTAAAGTATATCCCACACATTATATCATTATATCTCTAAATATTTCAATATGTATCTTTAAAAGATAAAGGGCCTTTAAAAATTACTATTAGAACATAATAAATAATTTATAATTCCAAAATATCATCAAATATTCAGTAAGCATTCAAATTTCTAATTATCACAAAATTTCTTTAAGTCTGTTTGAATCAGGGGCTCCTGGGTGGCTCAGATGGTTAAGCATCTGCCTTCTGCTCAGGTCATGATCTACAGGTCCTGAGATTGAGCCCCATGTCAGCTCCCTGCTCAGCAGGGAGTCTGCTTCTCCCTCTTCCTCTGCCTCTCCCCACTGCTCCTGCACTCTGTCTCTCTGTATGTCTCTGTCTCAAATGAATAAATAAAAAATTCTTTTTTAATTTATTTTATTTTATTATTTATTTGACAGAGAGAGACAGCGAGAGAGGGAACACGAGCAGGGGCAGTGGGAGAGGGAGAAGCAGGCTTCCCACTGAGCAGGGAGCCCGATGCGGGGCTCGATCCCAGGACCACGGGATCATGACCTGAGCCGAAGGCAGACGCCCAATGACTGAGCCACCCAGGTGCCCCTAAATAAAAAATTCTTAAAAAAAAAAAAGTTTGTTTGAATCATGATCCAGACAAAATTCTGTGGTAGGTAGGCTCCAAAGTGGCACCCAATGATTCCCACTCCCTGGTATTCACACCCTTGGATAATTCCCTCTCACACTGTATCTTGGTTTATATGTGTGATCAACCTGTTGGTCACATATCTGTGTGATGGTATGTCAATGTTGAGGCTAGGTCAAAAGAGCCATAAAAGCCATGGTAGCTTCTGCCCCTCTCTCTTGAATCACTTGCATTAGGGGAAGCCAGACAGCTCTTTGGTGTGCTGAGGAACTAAAGTATTATGCCAAGCAGCCAACAAAGAACTGAGGCATCTTGGCAATGGCCACAAGAGTAAGCCATCTTGGAAGTGAATCCTCTAGCACCAGTTAAACCATCAGATGATTGTAGCCCGGCTGACAGTTTGATTGCTACTTCACGAGACACCCTGAGCTAGAACCATTCAGCTAAGCTGCTTCTGGATTTCTGACTCTCAGGCACTGCCTGAAATAAGAATGTCTGTTGCTTTAAATGTTATGTTTTGAGGTAGTTTGTTATAAAGCAAAACAAATTAATAAAGATTTTGGTACCTGGAATAGGGGTACTGCCATAACAAATAGCTAAAATGGAAGAGTGCCTCTGAAAGTGGCAGTGGGCAGAAGTGGAAGGACTTGGAGGAGAGTGTTAGCGAAAGTTTGAAAAGCCTTGAAGAAATTTGTTTGTAGATGCTTGATAACTTTGAGGAGGTGGCAGATGAGGTCTTAACAGATCAGAAAAGTCTTACTGAAAATTGGAGGAAAGTGGCAGAAAGTTTAGCAAATTTGTCAGCTGAAGTTATATGTAAAGTAGAAAATGTGCCTAATAAACTGGTGATTTCCAGCAAGAATGTTAAAGATGTCACCTAGTTTCTTCTTGTTGCCTATAGTAAAATGAGAGGAGGGAGATAAGTTAAAGGGAGGACTGATAAACAACAAGGAGCCAGAACTTGCAGAGTTGAAGATTCCCAACCTTTCCAGGTGATGAATGATGCTAAAATTAGAAAATGGCTCTGAACAAAGAACAAATCCAGGGAATAATAGGAAAATATGAAGTTGAGGGTATAGTTAGTAAAGCCCTATACACCTCAGAAAGCTCTAACATGGCACCTCAGAGTAATTTCATACAGACAAAAAGGGTGTGCCTCATAGAACCTCTCAACCAAATTACAGGACTTCTAAGTTCAAGGGTGTGGTGCATCTTCCCAAGGCAGAGAAGGGTTTATATGGAAGAGAGTTACGGGTGTTGCTTTGTCTCATGGCATGAACTCAACTAAAATTCACAGGAAAGCCACAAAGTTTATAAGAGAATTATATTAGCAGAAGATACTTTTTTTTTTTTTTAATTTTATTTATTTAGGGGCGCCTGGGTGGCTCAGTCGGTTGAGCGTCTGCCTTCGGCTCGGATTGTGATCCCAGAATCCTGGGATCCAGCCCCGCGTCAGGCTCCCTGCTCTGC